TGAAGTGAGGCCTCTGTGTCTTCTAGATTGTTTATATGGCTGTATTCTCAGATACTTAAAAAAAATAACATTAGGCCTTTTCATAATGGTTTTATCCAGTAAAAACTTGCAGATTTTAATTAGCTATTGAATTTGTATAGGGGACTTCAAACAGACTCCAACAGTTTCAGAAGTACAGCACAATCACTTAAGAAGACTTGATTGGAAAATAGTTCAATTAAGTGTTCAATTAAGCAACAGACAACTGAGCTACAATAAAAGCCAGGAGGTGCTGGGATCACAAGGATCAGCTCATGGTAGCTTTTTATTAAAGGCTAGTGCACAAAGGCTTCTAAATTTGTACTAAACCGAAAAAGAACATGTCTTTTCACCTTAGACACATTGCATCTTCTACCAAAATCAGACTGATTTACTGATGAAAGGCCATCTGCTGATTAGTTTTGTGGTGATAAAGGACATTGTGTCAATTGAACTGGGAATCACAGGACACCCTGCAGGGATACAACTTGAAAAATGAACCTAGAAATGCCATTCAAAATAAAAGAAAACATAAAATTGCAAATGTTATATTATTAATAAAGTAGGTAGGATTATTTTCCTTTCATTTTGTCAAAGATGGGAAGCCTTCTCTCTTCCCTTGTTTACCTGTTTAATAACATCATTCTCCTGAGTGTTTTGTAATGGTGCGTTTCTAATTAGGCCTAATTATTTTATTGCACCCGTTTCTCTTTTCACTCATAACTGTTATTGCCTGTGAACAAAATCAATTACATCTTTAATATCTTCTCACTAAAATTAAACCCTGCGTGATTTTTTTTTACTTGGAGTTCAAAAATATAACAATTAGCCACTCAATGTCCAACAGAAGGAAACTGCTTTAGCAGGAAACCTTTTTTTGTTTCTTTCTCTTCTGTATGACAGTTGATCATTCAAACTGCCAGATTTTGTTGGTGGAGGCAGACAATATGTAATCTGAGGTGGCAAGCATGGCCTGTAGTTCCCCTTGACATATTTATTCAATTCAATTCAATGTATTTTTATATAGCGCCTTTCACAACAAGGTTGCCCCAAGGCGCTTAACAAGGCAAGTGACCATACATGTTGTGAATACAGAACTGAAAAGACCAGAAGACAACGGAGGAGAGGAACCAAAAACTCCTTAGTAAGGAGAAAACAAACCTCTAGGGGTCCAAGGTCAACTGGCTGCCCAACTCCTTTGGGCATGCTAACATTATATAATTAAAAAAAGAAATAAATGAATAAACATATTTATGACCTTGTTTTTGGGGGTGTTGCAAAACATGGTTCCAATCTCATTTTTTTCCCCTCAAAAGTTCCTATTTTCATCTTGTGTGCTGCTCATCTTTTCCTTTCCTTGAGTAAGGACTGCACATGCATTTTCTGACAACATAGCATTAGGGATTACTGACACATCAATATGGAGGCACCTGGCCACATCTGTCCCACGTTTGTGCTAGGGCCTAGTCATCATTCCAAACATCTGCATTTCTTTCAGCAAACTAGAAGAAGAAATCTTCTGGGTAGGAATTTTCTGTTTTCAAGTATCCTTCAGTATTTTACCAATGTGATTTCTTTGGTCAGAACCAGGCCTCAAAGGAAATCCATGATCAGGCATTCAAACTCTCTCACTGAAAATATAATCGCCCGACATCAGGGGATTTTAAAACTCCTGAGAGACTAGAAATAAATTATCACAGCAAGAGTTCAATTAAACCCAAAGGGACTCATACTCCTCCTCTAAATTTTACAGCATCCTTAGCAAGTGACCACTATCAATGTCAAGAGCACATTCGGTCAAACCCTTTAATCACCTACTCAGGTAAATCTATTTTTTTTGTGTATCAAACTAAAACATGATGGTAATACAAGTATAAAGTATGTCCAGCCAGTTCAGAGATGGTACAGACCCGTTGTTGTTGCCTGCCATCATTATCCCTCAGGAGGAGCTTTGTCTGTACTTAAGTGCTAGAATGGCAAACATAACTACTTCAAGCCAGCAAGGAATAATATGCACAGCTCTAGGTGAAGCCTCTTCTTCAAATTCTCATCTCCTATACATCATCTTCACAGAACAATGTGTGCCTGCACAGGTCAGTTCAAGCTTTAACAACCAGGCATGCACTGTGTGAAAGAACAGGTAAAAGAAGAAAAACAGTACATTTTGGTTGTGGAGCCTTCCTCAGGTGTAATGGAGAGAGGGAAAGTAGCAAATAAATCAGGCATATGTTAACAAAACACAGCTTAGGTAAAAAGGTATGGGGACCGGGAATAAATGGCCAAACAGCAGGTGAGATCAAGTGTCCGAACTAAGAGAGATTAGGAGGAAAGGGGTGTAAAGCCAAGATCTTCAAATAAATGGAGAGGATTAAGAAAGAGATGATTTATGGTTTGAACAAGTGTTTTTTTTGTAATGGCTCTGGAACTCCCCTTAAGAAAGCATGTCTCTCTGCAAAGCAATATTAACTCTCCTGTATATGCTGTAGCCCTCGTGCCTCCTGAACAAGCAGTGGCTAGATCTGACAGTGCATATTTTCAGTGATTATATGAGGGCTTCAGTGGCAAAGCTGAGTTTATTAACAATTGCTGATTAAACAATCCAAAGAACAATTCTTGTCTTGTTCACAAACCTGTTTCATTGCATAGCCAGGTGAAGAACCTGGCTACAGTGTTGATAAAACAATTCTTATATAAATAAAATGAATAAATTCCCTTATACATAAAAGATACAGTTTCGTCCTGGGGCTTAAACTGTGCATAAAATAAATATGTTTTTACTTTGTGTCTACAATTGCAGACTGATTTCACTGTGATCTGGAACAGAATTTATCTTTCTTGGCAAGCACTTAACTGATAAATAGTAAAAATCCATTTCAGCGCCTTCTTTTTTTAATTTGTGTTACACATGGCACTCACTCCAAATTTATTGCACTCTCTCCCTGTGAAGTTATCAGTGAATACTTTAGCTCCAAATGCACAGGTTCTATTAGGTGAATAAATCACTTCCTCTACCCCTGGCTGTCTAATGGCCTGATGTCTCGGGTAATGCAGTTTCCATTTGTCAAACATCTTGGCTTTTAAACTCTCTTTCTAAGCTATGATGGGAATTAAAGCAATGGATGGAAAATAGAAAAGAAGCAGAAATATAAGGATCAACACTGGTCCAATTTTTATACTATGTAACATAGGAAAAGGGTGAGCTATCATGTAGTTTCAAGCTTTCTTTGTCTTAGCCTTCAAGACCTTAAGTAATGCAAAAATAATGAAAGAACTGAGTTTACCCCAATAAAAAAAGTTAAAGAAAAAATGTTAAATATTACATTTGAAATAGAGCTCTCCGGAGCTGGTTCATTGGCCTTAAAGGAACCCGATTCAATCATTGAGTTTTTGCAAAAATAGAAGCATACATTTTAATGTGTGTAGACTTCGCACAGCAACCCTAAATCAGGGTACATCAGACAACGAAGGTTTAGAAAATAAAGGACTTATTTAACTACCTTGCTACATTTCTTCAATCATGCAGCAAAGGTATCAGCTAAAAGTAAGCATATGACATTGAAAATTTCAATTCCAAAGAGCTTGTCCCTCATAAAATGTTGATTCTTAAATAAAAGGCTATAGGAATCTGAGGTAAAATATGCACATTGATTGAGAATTGTAAACAGGAAACAGTGCTTCATTTTAAGTGGCACAGCTTCTGATTGGGCAGATAAAGGCAGAATTGTGATGCAGAGATTTATTTGAGGCTTGATGATCTTCTTGATGTGTATCAATGATTCAATTACTCATTTACTGAAATTAACATTCTATTTAAATTTGAAGATGATGCAAAAAAGGGGGAATAGCAAGCAAAATCCCAACAAGGAAATATTACACAAAGTCTTTTATGAAATTTCATGCTGACAAATGCAAAGTGATCCACACTTGCAGTAAAAGCTAACAATATACATATTTAATTGTTGATGCAGAGTTGAAAGGTGCTACACATGGAAAGGATCTGGGTGTTTATGTTGACTCTTCTACACCCTCATGAAGACAATGTGGGGAAACAATAAAAAATACAGAATGCTTGGGTACACTGAAAAAGTTGAGCCATGCTTTATATGGCTCTAGTAAGACCTCACTTAGAATACTATGGTCAGTTTTGGTCACCCTAACATAGCAGTACAGAACTATGACCAGAGAAATTTGTTCTATTCCCAAATCATAACAAATAAGTATGGTCTCGCATTTGTATAACATAAAAAGTTTTTGTTTCCTATTTGACCAACTTCTTCAGTTGTGTTTGTATACTAGCTCTGAACAGTAAACAGTGAAGTGTGAATGTTATTAGTCAAAGTGAGAATGTAGGAAATGGGCCGAAGAGGAGGGACAAAATCAGTATGGTTTCCATATTCTTACGTTGACACTCTTACACAATGTGGAACTGGAAGAATCAATTCCTTTATTTTAAATTCACACACTAACAATAAAATGTGTAATAAAATATAATAAATTAATAAGTTATTTGCCCATCTATTCTTCCATTTCTAAAACTCACTTATTACTATAATAGGTTTCATAACAAGAGGTGCCAAGTTACAAGTTAAAAAGTAAATGCAAGTGATTTAAACTGTGTATCCTCTACAACTTTTATATACAGTATTAAGTCTTACCATTCCATTGGTAAAGAGCTAAAACAACTCTTAAAAAAGCAGAATTATAAATAAAACATTCTTCAAAATTAATTCTCAAAAATTAATTATTTCTCACACCTGAAGGAGGCTCCACAGACTAAACATTTTTCTACCATTTTTTCATACCATTTTTTTTTACCATTCAGCATGGAATAAACCTTTACCTGTTCCTTTGCATCCTGCAATATGTTGTGTTTCTTGGTTTTAAATATATCTGATTGTTTAAAATGATAATATGTTAAAGGAATATTAAACTTTAATTATTAAAACATGCTAACACACATTCTGCAGACACATTAACTTTACCTCTACTAATGCTCCCAATCAGGTGCGTGGAAACATTTTTGTTGTGGATACGGCCTGTTGTCAGATGAAGAATGACATCCCTACTGGCGCCTTCACTGTAGATCACAAGTGAAAAGAAAAACACAAGTCAACCAAACATAACACAATTACAGCACATACCTTTCCACAAACCACTTCAACAAGACTGTCCTGCTTCCTGACCCACTAGTTTCCTCGCCTTTTCAGGCAATATGTGAAAAGAGGAAAATAGTCTATTTTAGGTGCACAAATCACTTGTATAATGCAGCACGTTTTGTAGGTCACTTTACATTATAAACAGTGTTAAACTTGCCCAATTAAGACAAAAATGACTTTATTTACGAAGTTAAGTGAACAGTAGACTGTGTTCAAAAGGACCGCAGTCCAGTCATGTGAATCCAATATCTTGCATGTCCTCCAGTTATTTGACACTGGAAAAAAAAACTAAAGTGTCTCTGGCTAAGGATCAATGCCTGTGGCTGGAAGGTTGCCGGTTCACATCCTGTGGCCAGCAGAGGAATCCTACTCCGTTGGGCCCCTGAGCAAGGCCCTTTACCCCAGCTGCTCCAGGGCCGCCATATAAATGGCTGACCCTGTGCTCTGACCCCAAGCTTCTTTCCCTATCTATGTGTCTCATGGAGAGCAAGTTGGGGTATGCGAAAAGACAAATTCCTAATACAAGAAATTGTATATGGCCAATAAAGTTATCTTATCTTATCTTAATTAAAAGGACTAGCAAAGATAAATCATTCAATGTTCTCTCCTCCTGATCAGCTAGACCAGGATATCCCATTCCTGGTCCTGTAGGGCTGGTTTGTCTGCAGGCATGTAGTATCTTTATGTATCTCTTAAGAGCACCATCAATTGAAGACCGACATCCTCTTTGTCTGTCAACCTATTTTGCAAGCAAAGCATTTTTCAGATATGCCGACTATGACTTTGGCCATTAAAGTTCACATAAGGTAAACACAGCAGCCAAGACCAAAATGTCCTGTGTAACAGTTTGGACTCAACTGGACTTCAAAACTCCCATCTGATGTCTGACATGGGTTCATATTTCCCAGCATATAACCTTCTGGTGGTACCAGCCCCAGACATGTTAGAGTAGCTCAGTAAATATTACAAACCAAAATGATCAATCTGATCATGAAGACTTTGTACACATATAAAGAAATTAATGAGACTATGTGGAAGAAAACAAAAATGTCCATTTTGGGTGAAAATGAGCCTACTGAGTGATAAACGTGAAAGGGTGGACAGCTGGCGAGGACAATGAAACTGTCCAGCTTTCATCTCTATCCTCTTCCTCTCCCTCTCCCGCTCTGCACTCACTGACCTCATAGGTGTGCCGCCAGGTGTGTCCCCTGCAGTTGTGGCAGCTTCACGATTCCAGGTGCACAGCAGAATAGCATAGCCACAGCCCGGCTGGGACACCATGAGCTCAGGGACACCTTCAGGGCCTGGGTTCACAGATAGACTGTCCACCTGTGGAAGGAATAGAGCAAGATAAAACCACCTTCCAGAGAGGAAAGTCCTTACACTCAACTATTCTGTTAAGCATCCATTTACTTAATGGAACTCTTTACTAATCATGACATTAGTGATGTGACATTAAAGCAGAACACCCCATCAATAAATTTTACACATGTAATTTCCTGGAAAAAAAAATACTGTCATTTCCCCAACAGTCAACTGAAGGTGCATATCTAACAAGACATATCATGGGGTTTGGTAAACTATTATATTTAAATTAAATATATATAGTTTTAGCTAACAGGACATTTAACTCTATTCGAAGATGTATTCAAAGGTAGGATACAGTTTTTTTTACTAGAGGAAAAAAGAAATGAGTCCTGTTGAGATTAAAATAAATAAATCAAATTTGAGTATTGGATTATCAACGGAGGAGAAATTAATGGAAGGCTCAGCTGTGACCTGGAGGAACTGCAGCAGCCATTTGCTATTATTAATGCATTTTATAAAGCAACGATAAAAGCCTGTTCTTATGAAACACATTAAACTTGTTCTTTCTTACATATTAATGATTATTGGTAAAAAAAACTTGCATTCTTCATACAGTTTTACTGTAGTAAAAGCAGAGAAAAGTGTGTCAAAGCCTGGTGAAATCATTGTGAAGCACTGTAAAAGCCCAAGAGGCAAGGAACAATTAAGCGTTATAAAAACTATGGGAAACCATAGCAAACTAAAGTAAATGAATGATATAAAACCAGAAAAACCATGCAAGGATGAGAAAAGAGAGTATGCAAATTTACCATGGTGATATTTCATGAAGCCTGGAACATGCCAAAAGGATGGCAGTGATGTCAAACACGCCTCCTACAGTTGAATGTAACACTGTCTAACATATCCCCTAGGGGTGACAACTGCAATTGAACATATCTTAGTGGTGATAGAGCTGTTCAAAGCACCCCAGGCATGGTAGTGCAGCTGACACTAGTTTGTTGTCTTACCTGCCCCTCCAGGAGCCACTTCTTGAGAAGGACCAGCTGGCCACAGCCCAGCTCTGAGCTGTCTGGGGAGTCTTCCCAGCGGAAGGCCCTCACCACCCGGTCCGTATAGCCCACCACCAGCTCATTCCTCCCATCTCCATCTGACAGCGAGAGCACAGGACAGCCACACTAACAGAGTGATTTTGGGCCTTTCATGTTAAATCAATGTCAACTCCAACTTGATTACAGGCAAATACCAGGTCCTCCTTTCAATTCTATTACATGAATTTCTCACATGAATTTCTTTTATATTTCAGGGTTAGAAATACAATTTCAGCAATAAGCGATAACTGCATTTCAAGTTAAAAGTACACATTAGCGTTTTAAACCTCCCATTTCCATCACAAAATAGACAAAATTTCCAGGTATGAGGAGTGCCATATTATCGTCATTGTCTGCGATTCAGAACGAGGTAACAAAACTTACGGTGATGTGAAAAGGCCCTATTACATTGTAAACTACCAGGCTTGTGAATACTGCACATCTCTTCCAATCCAATCCAATAGACATATTGCTCTTGACTTTGAGATAGTTTTGCCAACAAGTGCTACTTAGTTGCCTTAGTGCCTGCAGATCACATTGGAACATTCCTGTGGTGAAATGTCTGCTACACAGCCTGTACTTATACGCTCGTTGTTATGACCCCAAGTGTCTAGGGGTACAGGGGTTATAACATTTAGGATAATTCAGGTGGAAGCAGGTGGAAGCAGGTGGGTTCTGGTGAGAGATTAGGAAGCGTGATAGCAAAGGTGGGTGCAAAAGTGATGATCAAGTTGAATAAGTGACTGGTAAGACATGATAACACACAGGGGTAAGGAACTAGAGTGGTGCCAAAGAAAAGAAAATAACAAACAAAATGGAGCTGGCTAGGAAAGTGAGGGAAAGCTAACCTGACTACAAAAGAAAACCCGAAACACACGGTCTTTGGCGTCTTCAACAGCCTAGCTAACCTCCACTGACTACCCAAAACTAATACAAGACAAATGGCACTCACCTGTACTAAACTAGTGTTACTAATACAAAATCAACTAAGTGTGTAGAATGTACCCAACAACCTAAACTAACCTTATTCACAAAAGTTCACACAAAAACACAAGTGAACTAGGAATACAAATAAGGGAAAACAAGAGTAAATCAACAGGAACAGGGTACAAAAGAACACAAAGATTGAACATGTAACACGTTAGGGCAAGGTAATGGCAAAACAAGGATAAACACAAACAACTGAAAATAAAAAGTAACTAACAGAAACCAACAAAACAACAAAACCGAAGCTATACAAAAAAAACACACACACAAAACAAAACAACAAACCAACAAAGCCGAAGCAAAAGCTAAACGAAGTGATAATCAAAGCGAAATGAAGCAAAGCAAAACCAAACGGGACCGAAGTCAAACAAAAGGCCTCTCCTTCCTGAAAACCTCCATGTTATATAGTGATTAAGATGCACTCTGATTGGCTGAGAAGCTAATTGATCATGATGTCATACGGAACAGTGGTGTAATGGTGGGCCAATGGGGGAGGGAGAACAATCAAGGGTCAGCAGTGTGGAACACACACAGACCACACACTGGGACGTAACACTCGTATATTGCATGACATCGGTCGTTACGGTGACTACTGAGCAGGAAAGGCTGCTTCAAGTCACCTTTGGCAAGATCAGTGGTTTTGACAACAATGGCGACCATTGTTATACACAGTACTTTCAGAAAGTTCACAATATCATGCTTAATTCAAAGTTTGTAAAACTTTGCAATACTGCATATATTTTGTTATCGTGAATTAATAACCGGTCTGAGAAATTTGAACTGCAGTTCCCCTTTAACATATATTTGTAATGACGAATTGTGCAGAGGCTAATTTTTCCAAAAATGAGCTCTGTACCCACCTGTCATTTAAAATGTGAGCTAACTCCCACCCCACTCCAGCAGGTGTATGAGATCAACAAACAAATCATTATTTACCAAAGACTTGAAAAACTCTCACTTTGATCACTGAAGCAGGTGGTTTGAACAATTTAGCAATTTAAATTTAAATTTAACTTGAAATGAAAAGGGTCATTCCTGTTATATACAGTACAATTCACAAAACTTGCATAAAACCACAAAATATATGCAAACACGTTCACAAAATACAGAAAACATATTTCAAGGATCATATCTGTCAGATTTCAGCAAGTCAAACAACTTATTTTGCTTTGTCTAAGATACAAAGAAGTTGGTCTGAACTTAGATCTAACATAAAGCTTTCTCTTCTTATGACATTCATTCATAAAATATATTTATATTGTTATGAGCTAATGGATCATAAAATCTATAGCTTGTATTTCACATCTTACTGAACTACCCAAGGCCAAGGGAGCCTGTAAATAATAGGTTTTATTGAGTAGGCTGCTGAGCAGCAGCTGAGCTTAAAGGCAGGTAAACACAGATGATTAAGGGGTTTATTTAGTGAATCATAATTAGGGATAAACATTTAACTCACACAAACACAGCATAATGAAGACATAAGGAGACAAGGAACAGATAAGTATAGAAACTGAAGGAAAACAGAGAGAGAAGAAACAAGTCTCACTCCAGGTCTTGGAGACCTGATTCTGACAAAGTAATCTGAACCTTGATAAGAAAGCTCACTCTCCTATTTATTTGAGGAAATTCCGTTTTTGGTGAATCCTCAGGCTAAAAAGATCTCTCCTTTTTGGTGATACATTTTAGACATTTCCTTGAACTCAATAACATGATTAACGTACCGACATATTAATTTTGCCCTTAAAATCCCTCTCATCCACTGTTTTTAGAATATACTCTCCTACCCTCTGGAAGGAGGTAACAGATCCCCTGTATAAAGAATAAGCGAGTGATTACTTCATTTGTACCTAAAAGCATTCAATTGTTGAATAATGAAAAGAATGGTTGGAGTTAAGCATCTTTTCTATTATTGTTATCTATTATTGTTGTTTTAGACACTTTACCAGCTAATTGTGTTTTTAATCTTATGAGACTGGATAGAGTTTTGACTACAAATGTTGTTAAATGTTGTTTTGTATCTTGGTATTGTACTGTTGTTCTATGCTATTATTGTCATATATGTTATACGTTATGAGCTCTTGATGTGCAACGTAAATTCCCTTAGGGACAATAAAGGTCAATTCAATTCAATTTAGAATAAGTAGATAGACTCCCATTCACTTTTGAGCATCAAAATATTAGGAAGGGATATTTAGTCTTCCTTTATTTAGAATGCAGGGTGTTTTTTAGAATGCAGGTGTGTTGTTTGGTTGTGCTATTTTATTGTTAAAAAATATTATTGCTGTCCAAGCATTGACTCTGATTTAATTACTCTTTTGCCGGGGCTGTGCCAGAAATAATGAATGTTCCTTAAATCAGACCTACTGTACCATTCGGACTTAATTATTTTGTTATTTTCTTTAACTGCTCTGTTTTTCTGATATCCCCTCTTGTTATATATATTGTAATAATATATTTATTTTTTACATTTTAAAATACATCTTTCAGGAATGAACTGGTTCGCTAATGTTGCCACATTGTTATACAGAGATTGTAAGAGTCTGAAACAAGCCTCCCAGACATGCTGTTGAAGCAGATCACCTAGTTTAAGCTAGGCTTCTCTCAAAAGACATAAGGAGATTTGAGGCTAATTATATTGTTGTGAGCCTTGAAAAGCAAATGGTTACACCAGAGATCATCTGCAATTGCTATTACTAAGGGGTTTGTACACTTCTCTAACCCATTTTTCTAGGTTGTAATTACTTTTCAGAATGGTTGAACATTTTTCATTTGAAAGTTGTGTGCTATAATATGTAAATAAAGGAAATAATAAATTCCTTAATTCTGATTTAATGTGTTTTGATTGGAGTTAGGCAACAAAATGTATTACTTTGGAAAGGGTGTTGTGGATATTTTATAAGCATGATAATATTATCTTATTTTATAATTGTAAGACAGACAATTTTAAGGCTGTTGTGCACAATTTTCTATTTCAAAGCCTGTTGTATGAGGTAAGTTATAGTATACAATGGATATAAAAAGTCTACGCACCCTTATTGAAATTGCAGGTTTTTGTGATGTAAAGCAAGAAGATAAATCATGTCAGACATTTTTCCATCTTTAATGTGACCTTGAAAACAACCATATTCAAGAGAAAATATATAATTATTAGGAAGAATAATTTAAATTAAAAAACTACAACATCCTAGTTGCATAAGTGTGCACACCCTTTTATAATAGGGGCTGTAGCTGTGTTCAGATTTAACCAATCACATTCAAAATCATGTCCAAAATTAAGTCGCATTCACCTGCCATCAGTGAAAGTGATTCTGATTAACCCCAAATAAAAATCAGCTGTTCCTGTAGGAGTTCTTTGAAACTTTTGTGGTTGCATCCTACTGAGATAGCCATGGTCCGCAAGGAGCAGACAAAACATCTATGGATTCTTATCGTACCGATCAGGAGAGGGGTATGAAAGAATATCAAAGGCATTGGATGTACCATGGAGCACTGTGAAGAGTATCATCAATAAGTGGAGAAAATGTGGCACCACAGGGACATTGCCAAGATCAGGACGACCCTCCGAAGTTGATGACAGGCTAAAAACTTAGCAGGGAGGCTACCAAGAGGCCTACAGCAACATTAAAGGAGCTGCAGGAATTTCTGGCAGGTACTGGTCACTCCTTGCATGTGACAACAATTTCCTGTATTCTGCACATGTCTGGGCAATGTGGTAGGATGGCAAGACGGAAGTCATTTCTCACAAAAAAGAACATCCAAGTCCATGTAAATTTTGCAAAAAATACATTCAATCACCTCAAACCATGTGGGAAAATGTCTTATGGCCTGATGAAACAAAGGTTGAACTTTTTTACCTTTTCTAAAAGATGTTTGGCGCAAAGACAACACAGCTCATCATCCAAAGATCACCATACCTACTGTGAAGCATGGTGGTGACAGCATCATGCTTTGGGGCTGCTTCTCTTCAGCTGGGACAGGGGCTCTTATCAAGATAGATGGGATAATGACTAGCTCCAGATATCAAAATATTTTGGCACAAAACCTGCTGGCCTATGTCAGAAAGCTGAAGATGAAGAAGAATTTCACCTTCCAACATGATAACGACCCAAAGCACAAATGGAAGCACAAGGAATGGCTTTAGAAAAGGAAGATCAAAGTCTTGGAATGGCCCAGTCAGAGCCCAGACCCCAATCCCATAGAAAACCTGTGGAATGACCTAAAGAGGGCTGTGCACAGGAGATCCCCTGGCAATTTGGTGTGCACACATATGCAACCAGGGTGTTGAAGTTTTTTTAATTTCAATTAATTTTCCTAATAATTATCTATTTGTTTTTCTCTTGGATTTTGTTGGTTGCAAGGTCACATTAAAGATGGAAAAATGTCTGACATGATTTATCTTGATTTCTGGCTTTACATCATAAAAACCTGCAATTTCAATAAGGGTGTGTAGACTTTTTATGTCCACTGAAGCTAAAGCACACTCTATAAATGCCTATAAATTACACTCTCCATTATTAGATGAGCAAAGTAGAAACTTGTTGTGGTATTTGCAAGGCAATTGTCTAGGTTCCCTTGGCAAAGCTGTCAGTGCTGAAAGAAAGTTGTAATTCAAGAGGGTCTATAACCCCAGACAGGCTGTGTGAAATTATGTCAACCAGAATGCCAACAATTCAAGAGGGAAAAGTGACATTACAAAGGAGATCTTTTTCAGAAAAAAAGAAGTGTCATGCCCATCTCAAAAAGCCATTTACTCTTGGCAAGTGTGGCAGTAACTCAAATCACAGAAGCATTTGGCATAACACACACAGATTCAGTTTAGAAACACCAGTTAACCTAAGCAGTGTGCCTTTGGGAGGAAAATAACCAATGTGGACTCAAGGGAACATGCAGACTCCACAGAGAAAGCACCCCCTAGGCCTGAATTGAGCATAGGATCCAAAAACTGTAAGATAGCAACGTTAACTGCTAATGCCACCATACTACTTAACTACTGTGTCATTTTCTTGATAATATGAAAATACTGAATATGTTAAATTTCAGGTGAAATCCTTTAGGAATGATATTATAACAATGACATCTGTAAAGGAATAGGAGGCGGTTAGAAAGCCTGGTCTTGCAACAGATTGCTGTGAAGAGACGGAATGCTGGTTTAGTAAGAGAAGGGGACAAGTAGCCCAGGGAGGCAGAATGCTTTCTAACCACCACCTATTCCTCTACTGATGGCGTTGTTATTATATCATTCCTAAAGGATTTCACCTGAAATTTAACATATACAGTATTTTTTCTTCAGTGATTTAGCTTGAAATTTAACACTTTTTCCTTTGACTCCGACACCACCCAGAGTAACAGTCAGAGGCATCTACAACCATCTTTTCGAGGATACTGGATGTGTGTATGCTTAATTGTAATACTTTTTTCATCATTTTGTGTCCCACATAACCCTAGTGCACAAACCTGAAGGAAAAGCACAGAAGAAAACCTGGCAGGTACACTACACATTGGGCTACACTACACAAGGTGTTATTGGCACGGCTCTGACATTATCACTTTGCCTAGTGGTAACTGAGTGCCCTCTAGGTATGGTATAGTGTTACTACAGGTTTGAAAAGGTATAATCTCGGTCTACTCATATTTACAAATGTTTTCCTGAATACAGACTGGAAATGGAAACCTATGAAGATTCCTTTGGGAAAAAATGATTAAGCACACAGAAATAAATGGTCTGTCAAGGCCCAGCAAAAAGAAAATAGGAAGATAACAGAGGAGAAATAGTCTATTCTGAAAAAATCTGGGTGTTCTAGATTCTTATTCTCTTCGGGAGGAACCCTGAGTACCCGGAGCTATTTATAATGACAGGTCTAAATACATTAATTGTGTTGTGTGTGACTGTCTTTCATTTTAATATTAAGGAGATATATTTTCTGTCTGCTCAAAGGATGTTTAGTCTAACAATATAGTGATGGAGTTTAAAGATCAATTATGAAGCCTGTCACTCTGTGGACCAGCACAGTCGTAAATACTATGTATCCTCATGACGTCAATGGGCCAGAAAGAGTAATCATTTTGGTATTTGTTTTTACAAAAGATTAACAGGATCATCTTACTTCATGCCTTCTGGCAGGCCTATGGCACACAAAATTAGATCAGTCTGTTATTTTCCCATTCATCCAAACAGGACTTTAGCAGATTGTAACAGGTGCCGTGGCAGGACAATGGAGGTAGGGTCCAAGGTGATTACCTTTACCCAGAACACCTCAGACCAATCAATAAATGTACAATGTGTTATTGTGCAAAATTATTAATCCATTCCTACAACATAATAAGTGCAAGAGTTTTAGAATCAATATATCCAACTGGCGGTTTTCCAAAGGTGTTATCCGGTTCAGGGCTGCAGGGAAGCTAAAGCCAATTTCAAGCAACAGACTCAAGGCAGGAGGCAGGCAAGCAACAGGTGGAAGGCAGGGTACACCCTAAATTGCACACACAGACACAAACATGCACACACTCACACCAGTGCCAATTCCCCCAGAAGCCAATTAACCTACCACCCACAATCACAGGAAGAACATACAAACTCTATGCAGACAGCACCTGAGGCCTGGAATTCTGCCCAGTTCAGCCACTGTACTGCCATGCCACCCAATACATAACATCATCTCTAATACAATGCTTTCTAAGTGTTAGGGAACAGCCACACAAAAAAAAACACTCTTCCCAGCTGTGTTCTTACCAATATCACTAATAAGAATTGCCTTGGTATTGGCAGGAATGTGCTGGGTAAAGCAAGGTTTCTGGTCCTCTCCGAACAGTGCCTCCTGGTGGCTGGAGGAATCCTTTGCAATGGAAGCACTCAAGTCGAAAAGGTGGAACCAGCCCTCTGCACCCACGGCAACCACAAAATTCTGAGAGCACACACATTTCAATTAAATCATTCTCAGGAAAAAAAACACACAGAGACACTGAAAATGCCTTGTTTGTATTCTTTACGTCTAATAACTGATGTGTGGTGAGCATTCTGGTGCACTAAGGCTGCCGTCGCATCACACAGGTGGATACTGCACATTAGTGATGGTGGAGGGATGTCCCTATTACCTGTAATACCTGTACCTGTGTCCACTCAAAGCAATTATTATTGTTAGTGTAAGCAATTATTATTACACACAACAGGATGAGTTCCAAATTCACCTTACCTTTCCTTTATTACAAATGTCACCAACTCCGACACAGGTGAGCTGCAAAATAACAAAACAGAAGATCTGCCTGTAAAAATCACACAACATTTCCTTATTTCCTTATAAGTCTTCTTTCACAGAATATTTAAATAATTTTTAAATTATTAACCAGATTAGAACATTTCAGACAGATATTAATATTGGTATAAAAGATGCACCAATGGGTGTATAAATCAGAGTTAACTTTTATGTTTGTAATATGTCTTAAAAATACACACAGCATAAAAAAACATGCAAAATACTGCCTACAGAGAGAAGGTTAAAAGTTTATTCTGATTTTAAAAAGCTGTGACCAATTAGCAACTGAGGTCACAGACTCTTACTAGCCTGGTGGTTTTGAGCACATATCACACAGAGAACAAATGTATCATAAAACGAAAATCAAGGATTTTGATGCCAAACCACTTCTGTAGATATATTATGCCACAATAGACCATCGCATGAATTAAAGTACATCTGCTTTCTGTTAAAAGCAATGATATATCAAAGAAATAGACAATCACAGAATGTTGTCTGGTGGCAGGGCCACCTGGCAAAGAAACAGACAGGAACTTTCACGGGGAGAAATGTGTGTGTCTCCTTAGCAATGAAAGGAAAGCCACATTGCACACTCTGGAATAGAGCTTGCACTCACTGTCACTCAAGAAGAAATAATAGAAAGGAATGAATCATCACTCTTTTGTCTGATGTCACATCTCACTCCTCTGCCTCCTTACCATGCCAACGCAAGACCTTGTAAGCCAAGGCCTGGATTCATCATTCTTGTAAATGTACAGCTTCCCACTCGTGTCGCCCACAACAAGCTCATTCAGCTGAAACACAACAAAAGTGCAGCTTAAAAACAAAGGAGCGATGAGACATGTGAGGACATGTTGCAGTGTGAGTTTTACTGTTCTATAACAACTTTGGCGTAGAAATATACTCCTTAGCATCATTGATAAATCATTGATTTATTTTAATGACACTGTTACCCAAAGCAATGTACATTTGTAACTATGTATATAACACTACTGGTGCAATCAGTGTAAAATACTTTTTAACACTAGTGCCCCACGCACCGCTGACATGATCACAAACTGTAAGGACAGTGAAATCAGAACCTGGAGCACCACACCCAGGGTGGCAGATCCAGGAAAGCTCAGTGATTTCAGTCACATAACCATGCCAGCAAAGCCATCATCACCCCCACCCCAGGATATCGGTGACACACCCATTGGCCAGAGGGAAGATGAGGACCCCTTGAAGTTTATTTTCTCCCACTGGCAATTTTGTTTTTTCTCTCTTCTGTGTCCAATGGACAGCTGCTAGTATATTGTTAAGTGCTTTGTGGCAAAGTGTTGCAAAGAGTGCTATATCAAAAGACTGCCTGACTGAACGCACAACTTTCCAGATACAAATGCAGAGCCCTAAACGCAGTACTGCAAGTGACAGCATCTGCATTACTCAGTGATTCTATACTCTCTCATGAAAAGATTCTGCCAAATACCTTGAAACTCAAATGACATGCCATCATGGTATAGAGGTCACTTACTTCTACATCTTGGGGCATATGTCCTTTCAAGCAAACACTAAGCAACTTCCTTACAACAAATGTCAAAGGATGAATTATAGTACTTGCCTACAGCTCATGATGTGTTTTCAAAGATTACTTTACACTACACACACATATTAGCTTGTCTAGGAAGTATGATGATGTTTATACACCCATCTATCCATTTTCTGAACCATTTTATTCAGTACAGGGTCAAAAGGTAGAAGAAATCCCGGACAGAAGACCAGTCCATCGCAGGGCACACACAGAGATAAACACGCACGCCTACACCTGGGCCAGCTTTTTACAGAAGCCAATGAACCTACCAGTATGACTTAGGAGCACCAAGAGGAAACTCACGCAAACATGGGAAGAAAATACAAACTCAAAATACAAATACACACATACAGTATAACACAACTGAAATTGAACAAGGCAACAATGTAACCCCTTTGCCACTGTGTACAGCAGTTACATTATTATTACTATTTTTATTGAATATACTCATTTATTATTATCATCATCATCGAGCTTGCTATTTTTACCTTGCAACTTCTAAAAGTAAACTGCAGTGAAACAAGCGAATCAAGAACAGTGCCAGAGGATTTTAACTGGGAACCTCCGAAACAACGTGATTGTCATTTGTCATGTTTAAAATTTCGCAGGAAAAGCAGCCATACTCATAATGCCAAAACTACCATTTATAACCTTATTCAAAATAAAAAAAACGCTTTTCACTGACAACTTTGACGTTTCTCTGCTTTCTTACCGTGTCATTGTCAGCATCGCCCAGGCATATAGCGTGGGGGAACAGCGTTCCTGAGAAATCCAAGCTGACCCGCTGGACGTAGCTGAGAGAGCGCATTACCCAGCCCGATCGGTGTGGTGTGTCCCCGACAAACACCCTTTGCAACTGGGGAAACAGGAGGCCACTTGATAAGGATAGCTAGCAAGACCTACAGCAGGTTGATCCTTCCTTTAAGATCTAGGTCGTGAAAAATATATTTCCTAGGAAGCCATTGTTATGTTCTTTTAGGGAATAAAATCATTAGCACGCACTTCTCAAAGCCTAGGAGCATCCGTAAACAAACGACACGCGGCTACGGGTAAAGCGAAAGGACAAACTTCATTTGCTTTCAAAACAGAACGGAACTGTTTGATGAAGTGGATAAGGTTCTTGCTCCAGTAACCAACTACTGTAGTCTGTCTTTAGCAATAGTATGAACCACATCTAGATATAAACGATGTATTTATTTTTATTTATTGAATAAAACCTTGGAAATGTGCTTGTAGAAATATATTTTATAGAAATATATTTTATGTCTGTCAATTATATTTTTAATCTGGGCAAATTTCACATTGCTTTTAATCCAGGATTATTTCCCTTTCCTGTTAAAATTTAAACACAAATCTCTGAACTGTGCTCGGTATAATTGCTTAAATCCTAGATACTTTGCTGAAATACACACCACAAAGAATGTGGGGAAAGGAATATAACTGGGAATGGAGGAAAAATAATGAAATTCAGATTTGAAGTCAATATTGGACTAAGTGTCATTCCATCAATCATTTACTGTAGATTAGTGTACTCAGTTCTGGCGTAATATAAAAATTAAAATAAACCCAAATAATTCCTGGTCTGAAATCAGCATGATAAACAGACAAAACTAAAGTACTTGGTTAAGCACACAAGAGATTGCACAGGAATGCGATTTGTCTAGTATTTTAAACATCAAGCTTAGTAATGAAACATAAACCCACAGATACATCCGCCTTAACATCTACATCCAGTAGAGTTTGAGCTTTTATATAACTTTAATGTTTTATGATGGTCTTGAATGATGAAATTTAGGGGTGCAAGCTAAAGAATGTATTGAGAAGTAATGTGTCTGAAGATGAACCCTGTTTTCTAGGTGTTCAAGATGCAGACAGATTCACTTTACTTCTAAAACAATGGAGTATGTTCTCCCAGGTTTGTGTGTGTTTCCTATGGGTACCCCGGTTTCCTCCCACAGTCCAAAGACATACTAGTATGTTAAAACTGGCCCTGGTGAGTGTGTGTGTTTGATGGACTGGCACATAGTCCAAAGTGTATCCCGCGCCTTGTGCCTGTTGCTTGCTGGGATAGGCTCAAGCTCCCCCACACATATTGGATAAAGCAGTTAGAAGATGGTTGGATGGATGATGGACACTAAAACATCATTTGAAAATAGTATGTTTTATTTCTTCAAAAATGTGTATTCTCATTGATCTTTTACCCCACCCCCAGAAATAATACCAATATCTTTGTGCCAAACAAATGAACAAAATGCATTGCACAGTACCATTAGAATGACTGACAGAACTCATGCATTTCATATTTATTGATTTTATATGCATTCATTTCATCCATTCATTTTATAACATAGAACATTCTGTATTTTTATAATGTAGATTAGTACTGTATGTTTCTATTTCAGAAATTCCAGTTCCCCTTTCCTGTACCGATTTCCAATAAACGGATAAATGAAAAACGTACATGATAGGTCTTATATTTAAAGTTCTACTGTGCAAAATATATCTTCCTGGAAATTTATACATACTTTTTTCATTAAAAAATAAATAATAAACCAGTACACTATTGTAGCGGCGAGGCTTAATAATAATGCAGAATTAAGTGTTTCTGAGCTTCCCAAAT